GCTGCTGTATTCCTTGATCACTTCTAGGAGTTTTGTAGTAGAATCCCTGTTGTTTTCCAGATATACTGTCATATCATCTGCGAAAAGTGAAAGTTTAATCTCTTCTGACCCTATATGGATGCTCTTAATTGCCTTTTCTTCCCTAATTGCGATGACTAAAACTTCCATTACGATGTTAAAGAGCAACGGAGACAATGGGCACCCTTGCCTAGTTCCTGATCTGAGGGGAAATGATTTCAGTTTAACTCCATTCAATACAATATTGGCTGTAGGTTTGCTGTAGATGGCCTCTTATCAGTTTAAGAAATGTCCCTTCTATACCAATTTTCTTAAGTGTTCTGATCATAAAGAGATACTGGATGTTATCAAAAGCTTTTTCTGCATCAATTGAGAGAATCATATGGTCTTTGTTGCTGAACATTTTTGACAGAAGCATTCATAATCCTTTTGAAACAGTTTCTCTTTGCATAAGAAACCTTTTCATGTCCCCTTCAAGTTTCTCCAACATGTTGTGGAGTTCTTTCCACATATAGTGCTCAGCTGCATCTGAAAGGTGGCTGCTTTCTCCGTAGATGTTGATTCCAGGAATGTTTGCTGGACCCAGGTCCCTTGCAGTGCCCCAGACGTCTCCTCTCCTCAGAGATCAGCCTCAGCCCACCCTTCTCTGCGTCCAAACCCTAGGCCTTGGTGCCCACAGGGCCACTGAGCCTCCGCCAGCCCCACCTCAAACTCAGTGGTGCCTCACCACACCCAACCCGACAGCACCCTACACAGGACCCAGATAACCTTCCTGTTGGAACACTTTTTAAATGAGTATGGCATGGTTGGAATCATGCTTTTCTTCCAGGGGTGGAGAGAGGGTGGTAGAGCAGCTGCCTACCCCCAGGCTCAGTGGCCACACCGATCGTCTCTGATGAGAGAGGACACATACAGTATCTCACATGTTGGCACATTTTCAGATCTAAACATGATTAACATGGTTAAGCATGTTGTTTTAATTCACATTTTTATAGATAAAAAATGCTAAGATATTAGCAAATTTCTTATTCCTTTTTAACCTCTTGAGACTGCCTCAGTTAAAATCTTTGTACTATGTGGAATTCTCCTAAAACAATTTCCTTCTGCACCAGGGCACATATTCCAATGGGGATAAATTGGGGGCTCTTAGAACTTAGTAATAATCCTGAGACTAAAATTTGCTTTTCCCGAGTAGACATCTTTTTTTTTTAAATTTTTTTTTATGTATAGTATGAATATTCATTTCAGGCTTCAGATCCCAATCAACTTCTTTTTTTTCTTTGCAGTTTTTGGCCAGGGCTGGGCTTGAACCCACCACCTCCGGCATATGGGGCCGGCGCCTTACTCCTTTGAGCCACAGGCGCCGCTCATGAGTAAACATCTTTTGTTCAGTCCATTTGAGGTTTGTTGCCATCCAATTTCATAATGGTGTTGTGTTTAGCCCATTGTAGAAAGTAAGGTACTGCTTTATGAGTAGTTTGAAACACTATAGTAAAAAAATCCTCTGTAGATGTTGAAAGGTCTGTTGTCTTCATTTGATGCCAGGAATGGCCCAAAAAAAGCCCTTGCTAGCATGTTTAAGCTGTAAATAGCATAAGCAGGCACTCCTGTCCTATGTTGAGTTTAGAATGTTAAAGCAAACTAACAATGTGAGGTATACCAAGTTACATTATGGAGAGTATATATGATAAATACAGTTTTTTGCTGTGTATAACAGACCTCATTTCATTTGTAGTAAATCCTAAACTTGGGATTAGTTTACCTGTAGCCTCTGTGAGCCACAAGGGAAGCAGAGCAGCCCTTGTGTCTGAGCCGAGGCTGCACTTGTATGGGGAGCACTGACGGGGTGTGGAGGACTCCGTGGTTGAGATTAGCCTACATAAAATGCACAAAAAGAGTTCGTTCTTCAAATTGATAATGGAAAAGAAAGATGGATTAGGTAAGAGACTCAGTTTATTCAAAAATAATAGCAAAACCAAACTTTTTAAGTACTACATCAAAAAAAAAAGTCTTATTTGAGATAGCCTTTTGCATACAACAGGGTGTTGTTTGCAGTTTTCAATAAAGGAGAAAAAGAATGCTTATATTGAGATTATCTTCCTCCTGCTAGTAAGGATAATTAAATCATGCCTTCAGGTACAGTCTCAATTTTTTTGGTAGTCATATAATCTGTCCCTGGTTATTTACGAGTGAGATATGACTACAGTTATTTATGCGCAGGAGGAAATGAGTTCAGGACATCTTCGGGATTTCCTCACTGACTTGGGTATTATACATATAAAAAAAGAAAAAATATATATATTTTTCTTTTTTTTTTGAGTCAGAGTTTCATTATGTCACCCTTGGTAGAGTGCTGTGGCGTCACAGCTCCCAGCAACCTCAAACTCTTGGGCTTAAGTGATTCTCTTGTCTTAGCCTCCCAAGTAGTTGTAACTACAGGTAACCGCCACAATGCCCAGCTATTTTTTGGTTGCAGTTGTCATTGCTGTTTAGCTGGCTCAGGCTGGTTTGAACCTGCCACCCTCTATGCATGTGGCCAGCGCTACAGGCACTGAGCCTGA